TAGACTTCTTTGCTTTTCCGGAGGGGAGGTTGAGGGAAGGGATAAGAAATTCTGGTCACTCTGGGCTTACATTACCAAATGATTCAGCTGAAGCTCATTCCAGGCTGACCAGGTATTTCTGCAGTCACGAGCAGTTCTCCACCCATTTCCCTCATTTACTCAGTTGGCCCTTTTGTAGTAGCAAGGTTTTTTTGGTTTTGTTTTTTTTTTAAAGAATTATTTATTTATTTAATTCCATTTGTTATTCATTGTTTTTTTAATTTGACCAGAGAGAGAGAAAGGGAAAGCGAGAAAGCAAGCCACCAGGTCCAGGACTCAAACTGCAGTTGGCCATGTAACCACCACACCACCTGCCAGTCCCCAAAGCTGATCTTATCTCCAGGTGCCTATAGCTGATATAGAGTAGACATGGGTAAGCTCTGGTGGGCAACTCATGACCAAGAAATCAAATCATACTTTAAGCCTGTCTAAGAAAAACTTTTGCATCTTTAAATAGCTTAATAAATATTTTTAGAAAGATATTTTATGACATGTGAAAATTATTTAAAATTCAGAGTTCATTGTTGCTAAATAAAGTTTTATTGGAATACACAACAATATGCATTTGTTTGCAGAGGATCTATGGCTGCTCTTGTACTGCAAGGATAGAATGTAGTTGTCACAGAAACCAGAAACCATGTGGCCCACAACACCTAAAATACTTACCATTGTTAAAGAAAAACCTATTCAGTGATACTTGCTAAAGCATGGTAGGGAAGATTTATTCAGGACTAACAGAACTCTAAATAAGCACAGGAACTCCTACAACAAGGTCTTGCAATGGGGAGAGAAATGGGACTCAACACTGAATACAGCACAGTAAGTGGGAATTCATAGCCAAGGAGCAAAGTGAGGGGTCAGTGGGTGGACAATTACTAAGAGGAAGGGCAGGCTCGATGGCCAGGAAGTAATGGAGCCAGATCCCGCATGTTCCACTGTGGTTCAAATCCCAGCCCTGGTGGCTTGACAATGTGCATGTGTGCCCAATATCCTGACAGAAGAAATTGAGGACAAGGGATGGCAGCGTGACCACACCCTATTGGGGGTTTTCTCCCTCCCTCTCTCTCTCTCTCTCTTTTTCTTGCACACATACTCTCTGGCAATAAGAAGAAAAGAAAAGAAAATGACTAAGAGGAAACATCCAAAGTAGAGGGGCTCTTGGCTGAACTGATAGGATCCTTGCAGAAGACAGACCAGGATGATCAGACGTCAGTGGGGGAGAGTGGATGATGAGGAATCTGGTCATAAGTAGAGAGCGGAGGGTTCCTGTTAAAGCTGGGCATGAAAGAAAAGCAGCTGAGAGCAGTCTTGGAATTCAATGTTCTTGTACCTGTTAAGGACCTGAGAAAACATGAGCATGAGGCTTTGGCTATACTCCATATTAGTCAGGGTTATTGCCCAAAAGGCATGTTTTAGTTTACAGTAAACAAACTGTGGTGCTACCAGAAATTACAGATTTTACAGTGTGGCCCCAGCCTTCCTTTATCCCAGTGTTCTTGAGTTCGTGACATAAAGGATAAGGTATACTCACCTACTTTCCTGCATTATTTTAAATGGACCAATGCAAACTCTTGACAAACAGCTTGCTATTTTATTTAACTTTATTTATTTATTTATTTTTAAAATGTGACCAGAGAGGGACAGAGTGAAAGAGGGAGAAAGGAAAAGTGGGATAGGCAGTCCCTAGGTCCAAAAGTCAAACCGCAGTTGGCTATGTGAGAGTCCAGTGTTCTCGACCACCATGCCACCTGCTGGTCCTTTTTTTTTTTTTTTTTTAAGAATTATTTTAGGGGCCAGCAGGTGGTGTGGTGGTTAAACACACTAAACTTCTACATTGTTGACTGTGGTTTGAGTCCCAGACATGGTGGCTTGCTTTTCTAATTTTCCCTCTCTCTCTCTCTTACTCTGTCCCTCTCTGGTCAAATTAAAAAATAATAATAAATATAACGACTTTTTTTAAATTTAACTTTATTTATTTATTTTATTTATTTTGACAAACAACTTGTAACCTACCCTCTTCTTGCTTTTCTCTTTGTTATATACGCCAGCTTTCTGGTTGCCATGTAGGTGAGTACATGTCTGGGAAACCAGACTCAGTTCATCAGACTAACTCGTCCTAAGCCCTAGCTCAAATAAACCTCTTTTATTTCACTTATTATACCTTGGCTTTCCTTTTAGATTGGCATGAGTTTTACAAGGAAGTACATAGAATAACCTAGTGGAAGGTGCTGAAACCTAATTAAAGTTTGGCCAAGCCAAGAATTTAGCCCTGTATGAAAAAATTTTCTCAATCTCAATCTTAAACAGTATTGTCCAATAGAAATGTAAGATGAACCACATATGTAATTTTAAATGTTCTAGTAGTCAACTTCTTTAGAAAGGAAAATGGAAATTACTTTTAATAATATATTTGATCTAACCCAATACAACCAAAGTATTGTTATTTCAATCGCAATGATGTTGGGATACTATCATCTACATTTTAGGACTGAGCATCTGAGGCACTGAGAGGATAAATACCTTGTGGAAGGCCATACAGCTGCTAAGTAGTAAAGTTCTAGGTTGACACCTGACCCAATTTTAGTACTGACTAGTCTTGCATCTTTGTGGATCTCCTCAGCTCCTCCCACCCCACCCCCTTGAAAACCAGGATGATTATTAGTCACCGTAAAATTCAAATTCTGGTATTCTGATTCTAGACTCCATGCTACTAACATGGCATCTCTCTCATAATAATACAAAAATAGGCTAAACTGTAGAAACACCATGTGTGGAGCAGCAAATGGTGTAACAGTTATGTCGTTAGACTCCCATGTAGACTGTGCTTCAAGTCCTGGACCCAGATGCTTAAAATTCACACCGGGCATGTGTGCCTGTGTGCCCGTGCGCAAAATCCAAGAGAATGAGAAGGGATTGTGGCATGGCCATCCCTCCTGGGGAGTGACTTCTTGCTTTCTGTCTCTCTGTCTCTCCGGCAAGCACATTCTCCCTATAGCAAAAAATTTCGCAAAAACAAAAACAAACAAAACACCATGTGTAGAAATGGACTGAAGAAAAGCAACCCTGAAATCTGGGGCTGCAACAAGATGCTTTCAATTTACCTTCAACTCACCTAGTCTTCCAAAAAAGACTCTGGAATGTACTAGGGTTGATTTGCATCAATTGCTTACAGTTGGAGAGCAAACAAGTCAATTGCATAGTCTTCAGAAGGTCAGCTGAGGAAGGAGCCGGAATCAATCTGAGAGAATGGGAAAGAGGATGTCTCTTCACAAGTTGGGGAGTACAGGGAACTTGAAGAGTCTGTAATCCCAACTGGAAATGCTTTTTGTAATAGTTTTCTGCTTTGTCTGATATGCTTCAGGCCAACTCTGAATCCAGTGTGAACCTGTAGTCAGCCATGTGGCATTTAGCACTGCAATTCAGTTCACTGCTAACTGTGTCAGCAGATGGGCTTGTTTTGTCCTTTTTGAGAGAGTCTTCTTTCCACATATAATCAAAAAGCAATTTATCCATATACGGATTTTTAAGTAAAAAAGGAGGATTTTGTTTTCTTTTATTTATTTTTTAATTACCAGAGGGCATGTACACTCATCAGTGAGAGAGAGAGAAGCACCCGTTAGTGAGGTGCGGTCATGCTATAATCCTTTCTCCTTCTTTACTCCATCCCACCAAAATTGTGGGCATACATGTACACGTGACCAACATGTTTTTGAAGCTACCGGGACCAGGATTTGAATTGCTGTGGGCCATGTGGGACCCGATCTATGCACAGGCATTGGTCACTGCACTATGGAGCTGTCCCTGTTTGTTTGTTGTTTGTTTGCCAGAAAGTGTGTGTGCTTTCCAGACAGAGAGAGGTGAGGAAGAGCGAGAAAGCACCCCAAGGGGGCATACTCATGCTGCAATCCCTTGTCTTCCATTTCACCATCTAGTTGGGATCTGAGGTATGCAGACACAGGAGCCTGGTGTGTTTTTCAAGACACTAAGGAATTATTTAACTTTATTTATTTATTTTTAAAATTTTACCGGAGAGAGAGAGAGCAAGAGAGAGAAGAAAAGTGAGAAAGCAAGCCACCAGGCTCAGGACTCCAACTGTTCAGCCATGTGGGAGTCCAGTGCCCTTAACCACCATACCACCTGCCGACCCAGGACCCAGCTCCCTTAACCATTTATCTATGGGATAGGCCATTGTTTTCAATTTACAAAGCTGGAGTGAGAAAACTTGTTTTAATTCTTAGTATATATACTTACTAGACTTTTTGTAGGTTATTGACTTTCAAAATCTCAGTCTTTGCATTGTTTCCTACACATCGGTTTATTTTTAAAAACTAGGTATTCTATATACAGCTTTATTTGGTTCTACACTCATTCATTGAAAAGGGTTTCTTGAATGTGTTTTTTCCACTTAGACCTCAAGGACCCGATTGTCCAGATAGACTGCACTGCCTGGTGCCTTCATGGAGGTTACAGGTAATTGGGGAGCAAGCAATTTTCATACGAAATGTGTAAAGTCCATGACAGAAACTGAACTTGCTTACCAATATCTATTTATCACATCTTTCTGATGAAGAGAACCCCAATTCGATTGAGAACAAACAACATGCCTAATTGTAGCAGATTGCATTTTCCAAAAATGGCCACAGCAGTATTTTTTTTTCAGTTTCAGATTTTTATTTCATTAACTTAAAAGGTGAGCAAAACATGTATTTCAAGTCTTATTACACTTATTTACCTGAAACATGTTACATAGAAGAGAAATAGATACAGATTTCAATTCATTTATGGTATAGTTCATTGGCCATTTTAAAACACTTCTTCCATAAAACCTCGTCATTGAAAGGCAAAACAATTCCTATACTCCAAAAAAGCTAGATGCAAACTTCTGATGTTAACTTATTTCACTGTCAACTCTAAAGGTAAAGATGGAGGCACAGACGTTGGGAGTTCAGTTAAATGATGGCAACAAAAAGCTTCTGTTTCTCTCAGATACGAATGAGAAACCTCCACTCGTGTCTCTTGCGGCAGTACACGAACTCGACGCTCGTGCCAAGTCACTTCTTCTTCCCTTTCTCTTGTTTACTTCCTTCTCCTGGCTGAAGGCTTTGGTCAGCTCCTCCGGTTTTCTGTGTCCGTGTTTTTAGGTTAGGTATCCTCTCCGCTGCATACAACATGACTGACGTACGTTGAGGGGAACTGCACGAGACAGAGGCTGCCGTCCCCCTGTTTGAGCTGCACCCGGACTCTGCCTCTGTACTGAACATCGCGGTTCCATTCTCTAGAGGACATTTTATTTTTCTCAAGGAGCACGTTGAGTCCAACTACTGAGCAGACATCTTGAATCTCTGTAGCTGTAGGGTTTTCAACAGCCTTGCTGACGGGGATGCGCCTCCCCTCCGCGTTGGTCTTCTTGTTGTTCAAATAGGCAGGGTAGATACAAAGGAACCTGTCCTGGTCAGCGGGGGAGCGCGCGGCGGCGCAGGCCATGGCCAGGGGCCGCAGGCGCCAGCACAGCCCTCGGCCCGCCCCCTGAGCTCCCAGGCCGCCGCCACAGCAGTATTTTGATTCCACTTGCTTTTCCAGACCTTGCCACCCCACATCAAGAGCTCAAATCTATTTCCCTTCCTCTATTAACCTGGGCAGAACTTTGTGTTTACCACAATGAATAGGTTACAACACAAGTGATGCTGCATGACTTTCAAGCCTAGGTCATAAAAGGTGATAGGGTTTCCATCTAGGTCTTCTTGGGACCTGACCCTTTGGACTCAAGTATCATGGCATGCGAAGCCAAGAAGTCACTTGACAAAGTCATGTGTAGGTGTCCTAACCACAGTTCCAACTGTATGAGTCTTCCAGGCCAGCAGCCAGCATCAGCTGCTGCTATAATATGTTGATGCCAAGTGGAGCAGAGACAAGCTGCCTGTACTGAGCTTTTGCATATTTGTGAGAAAAGCACATTTTCATTCTAACCACCAAGCTTTGCATGGGTTTGTTACACAGCAATAGATCTGGAGGATTTGGTATCCATTTCCCAGCCATTCTGACAGATTGGAGTAGCCACATGACAGAATTCTGACCAATGAGCTATAATGAGAAACTCTCTGCAGATGCATGAAGTAAGGGCATGAAGCCTTCATTGTCCCTTCTTCCTCCACTCAGAGTGTTAGCTGGAGCTCTGGCAGCCGGTTCAGAAGAAAGGAGGCCATACCTTAAGGATTTCAGAATAGAAACCTAGAAAAGAAGCTCAACATTTTTACTCATGGGGCAATACAAATTAAAACTATAATGAGATACCATTTCATACTGCTAAGAGGGCAAACATTAAAGAGACTGACAACTCCAGGTTTTGGTATGGATGTGGAGCACCAGGAACTTGCATGCTTTTATTATTATAAATACTGTAAAGTGTTTCCAATGCTTTTCTTTATTGCCCCTGCCTGAGGGTGAAAAGATAGGGTACCTGGAGGGGAAGGGTTGTGAGAGGACCCTTGGTGCAATGGCTATGTTGCTGGACTCCCATGTAGTCGACCGCAGTTTGAGTCCCAGACCGGGTGGCTTAAACTCATGCCGGGCATGTGTGCGTGTGTGGTCAAGATCCTGAAAGGAGAATGGAGGAGAAGGGATTGCGGCATGGCCATCCTCCCTGGGGGTTGAGGTCTCACTTTCTGTCTCTCTGTCTCTCTCTGCCTTTCTGGTGAGCGCACGCACCCTGTAACAATAAGTAAGTAAGTAAGTAAATAAATAAATAAATAAATAAGCAGGAGTCAGGTGGACCCAACGACTCTTCTGAGAATACCTCGCCCTGAGCTGTTCTATGCTCAATTTTTTTTAGGGAAGGCAAAGCCTCATCCTTCAGCTGTTGAGCACCTTGTGGTTTTAAGCAAGCCTCTCCTTGCCTTCTCTGATACTCAGCCTTCTTCTATCTGTAAAGCTCAATTATAGATTATGTCATTGCTTAAAGCGTTTGTGAGCCCTGCAGAGAGAGCACCAAGACTACTTTAGGATGCTCCTTCCACTTTATTGTAAATACTGTAAAGTAGTACCAATATCTGGAAAAATGATCTTGCACTTTTCAATAAAGATGAAAATAATACAACTATTTGATTCAGTTATTCAACTTTCATATTTTCATCAAGTATGAAAACATATGTTCACAAAAAGACTTACAGAGATGTTTACATCAGCTTTATTAATAATAGGCCCGAACAGAAAACAATCCAGAAGCCCACGGATGTGAAAATTGATAAAAATGGATGAATAAATCACGGTACATACTCTACATTGAAATACTATTTGGTAAGAAAGTTGCACCACTCACATATGCAACAACATGGGTGAATTTCAAAAATGACATATTAGCTTAAACACAAGAAGCCAACCATGTAAAGAGAATATACTACATAATTCTACTTATATGGAATTCAAGAATATACAAAACCAATGCATCATGATCGAAACCAGAACACAGGCAGCCTCCTGATGTTATTGACCAAAGAGATATAAAAGAGGTCCAGCAGGTGGTGTGGTGCTTAAGTTAAGGCGCTGGACTCCCACATGACCAACTGCGATTTGAGTCTCAGACCTGGCGGCTTCCCTTCTCACCATCCCTCTCTCGGTTTCTCTCTGGCGAGTGCCAGTGCCCTATAGTAAATTTAAAAATAATAAAATTAAATAATTATTTTTTTTTTAAAAAGGAGAGATTCAAAAGAACTATTTGGAGTTGGGAAAGTTCAGCTGGGATACTATTTACCCAAAGGTACAAAATCATCAAAACTCATCCAACTGTACAATAAGATATGTATGCTTTACTACATGTAAATGATAACCAATTTTTTAAAATGAGCTTTTTTTTTCTTCTTTTTCTTTTTAAATTAAACAGGTATTTGTTTGTGTGTGTGTTTGTTTTTAGAGAGAGATTTTTGCTATAGAGTGTGTGCATTGGCCGGAGAGACAGAGAGACAGAAAGCGAGAAATCACTCCTTGGGTGTATGGCCACGCTGCAATCCCTTCACCTCCATTCTCTCAGGATCGTGGGCATGCATGCATACATGCCCGCGTGTTTTAAGTCTCCAGGTCCAGGACTCAAACTGCGGTTGACTCCATGGGTGCCCAGCAATGTAACCATTACAGCATTTGCTGGTCCCATGAGCTTATTGTTAAATGGCTTATTTACTTTTGAGACCTATTCAAAGAAGCAAGGGCATAAGTATTACTGATTTGCTGCTATAGCTAACTTATAGTAGCAATGTTTAAACTAATACTAGGAATGAAAATATTTTTGTGACCAGGTCTCACTGACAAGGAAAACATTATCTCTAATTCATTTTTCCAAAACAATATTTTCTAAATCAAAACATACTCAGTATGAATTTTCATTCTCCTTTTCCCAAGCTAAGATAACCACAACAAAATTCTTTAGACAAATCCCCATACCCAAAACTGACAAGGCTTCATGATAAAAGTGATGTCTTAGCTGAGATCAGAGTTAACTGCAGTATTAGTTAACCGAAAAGGGAGAACAGGAGTCATGCGATGTCCGAGAAGCAGGCAGAGGCAGGGAGATACATATGCAAACACACACACACAAAACAGGTGCTCAGTTAGATACTCACTGAGAAAAAAAAAATGCCCAGTAGGCATTTGAACAGTTTTGAACCTCACTAGAGTAATCTGAACTCAAAAAATGTATTTAATAAATATCCCTATATAAAAGGTGTTAGAAAGTGCCATTTTTTTTCTATAAAATATAAGTTTAGCTGGGTATATAGCTCTCCTATAGAAACTATATTCCCCAGCCTCCTTGCAGCTAATTGTTTTCATATGACTAAGTTCTGGCCTATGGTATTTAGTAGAAACGATATTGCAATTTCTAGATTGTACTTTTTCTCAATGGAAAAGAGGTGTTTCCTCCATTTTCCATGGGGTTGAATGCAAATGTGATGGTGAGATGGTTTGGACTACATGGATGAGGGCCATACCCAATGGAAGTCATTCACTGAAAAGACCTTGGGTTGGACCGGCCCCATAGTGTAGTAGTTAGTACTGTGGAGAAGGACCCAGATCCCACATGACTAACCATGGCTTGAATACTGGCCCTGGGGTCTTGAAAAACACACCAGGCACACGTACATGTGCCCAGGATTCTGACAGAATACAGACATGTAAGAAAAAAGATTGCAGCATGACCAGGCTCCACTATGGGGTGCTTTCTCTCTCTCTCTCTCTCTGTCTTTGATATGCACATACATACTCTGTGGCAAAAAAAAAAATCAATGAACAAAAATGAAACAAAATAATAATCAAAACTTAACTCTTCTCTCTCTTTTTAGATTTTGACATAAGGCACATGCACTCACAGGAGAGAAACAGAAACACAGAGAGAGGGAAAGTGAGAAATCACCCCTGAGGGAGGATAGTCAGGATACAGTCTCTTCTCTTCCATTCTCCTATCAGGATTCTGAACCCACACATGTGCCCAGCATGTTGTTCAAGTTGCCGGGTCCACGACTGCAACCGTGGAGTTGGCTATGTGGGATCCAGTGCCTTAAACACCATGCCATCTGCTGGTCCCACAAAATCTTAACTAAAAAAAAAGGATGAAGAAAAGAAAAAATCTTGAGTTTCTTAAACTGAGCCACCATATTATTCTTGGGCCGCATGTAAAATATACAGGAGAAGTAAGTGTCCATCATGTGTAAGTGTATTTTGGCTCTTCCAGCAGTCTTGCCTTTATTTGCACTAACCCAAGTATTATTTAAAACTAGAGGAGGGGTCATCTGGTGACAGTGGTTAAGGGGCTGGATCCCACATTGCCTATTATGCATTTTGAATCCTGGATCCTGCAGCTCAGGAGACATGTGGGATTGGGGGAGGCAGCAGGTGGTATAGTGGTTAAGAAGCTGAACTCCCACATGGGCAACCAAGGTTTGAGTCCTAGACCAGGAGTCTTGAAATTCACACCAGTCGCATGTGCATGCATAACCAAAATCCTGAGAGGAGGAGAAAGGAGAAGAGATTGTGATGTGGCCATCCCCCCCTAGGGGGGATTTCTCACTTTCTGTCTTTCTGTTTCTGTGTCTCCAGTGAGCATATGTGCCCTATAGCAAAAAAAAAAAAAAAAAAAAAAAAAAAAAAAAAAAAGAGAGAGAGAGAGAGAGAGAAAGAGAGAAAGACAGACAGACAGACATGTAAGGTGCATGTGTTCACATGCCCAAAATCCCAAGAGGAGAATGGAGAAGAGATTGAGGCATGGCCATCCCCCAGGGTATGCTCTCTCACTTTTTTTCTCTCTGTTTCTCTCCCACAAATGCATAGCCCTATCACAAAATTTTAAATAAATAAGACCGGGGAAAATGAAAAGTATGAGAAAAAGTATAGAATTGTGAAGGCTGAGGAAGAAGACGAGAAGCAAGTGGTCATTGTTTTAAAGGCTTCGGTTCATCAAGTGAGGAAAGGATTCAAGAACATTCTTAGAGTGCTGAGTTTCATCGTTTTGATCATTGTTGCCAATCACTTTAACCAGAG